GGCATCTTCTTAATGGGACACCTTGAATCTGGTTCATGTTAGCTTGGGCTCACAGGGGTCACCCACTGGGTCACTTAAGATGCCATGAAGTCTTGAACCAAAGGAGTTGGGCCAGCCAAGGCAGCAGTGTCCTGTCCCTCCTAAGCCCCATCTTTGCAGTCCCAGTCCCAGAGGATTTCTGCTTCTCCAAGACATTGAAATGTCCCTTTCAACAAGTAGAGTACCTACGGAATGGAATAATGTGCACAGGTGAGCCCAGCACCCTCGCCTCAAAGCTCATATCTGCCCATGGGATTTGACTTTAGCACAGATTTCAGTCCATAATCATCATTCAAGTTCAATGTCAAAATCCCATGTGTGCCCATGGAGAGAGGGAGAGAGAGGCACTGCTGTTTCCAGTTTCCAGATGCCTCACTCCTCCCCCCAAAATCACTTCTGACTCTCACATTTGTCCCTCTAATGCACGGAGCTCACCATCTTTAGCTTGGCGACTGCTCAGGCTGAGCTCATGCTCTGTGCTGGTCCATCTTCCCCCTCTGGCAGGTCTAAAGGGTTTCACAGAGCTGAGTCCCCAGCAGTCCAGGAGCCAAGGTCTCTTTGTCCACTGTCCACCCAGGCCTTCGCTGAGCCTGGGAGTCTTGCAAGCCTGCTCTCAGAGGGATGCACCCTCTGCCCACAGGCCCAGGTCTCTGCCCATCAGGTTTGGCAAGAATTTCAGTAGGAACCCAGGCGATTGCCATACCCTAGGAAAACTGAGTTTCTGGCCCGGGAAAGATACAGCTGACTGGCAGGCTGGAGACACCTACTTGAGAAGTAAAACGTGGATCTAGGCCACCATCAGTATAGCCATTAGCTTCCTCCTACTTCATGGGGCGTCAAGGGTGCCAGCAGCAGGAGGTTGGGGAGCCGCTAGAGAAGAGGCGGGTACAGTGACAGTGCCCCGAGAGGGCAGGAGCCTGCAGCCTCAGCCACTTGTGGGGGCCCGTTAGTAATGCAAATCCCCACGCCCCACCCCAGACTTAGGGAATTAAATTCTTGGGGAAGTGGAGCTGGAACCCAGCTTTTTAAACCTCGCCAGGTAGTTCGTGTGCACACACACTTGCTGCTGACCCACTGTGCACGGATGATGGCCACACAGGATTAGTATAAGGAAAAAGGACCTTCTGGCAGGCTCCATTTTTCAAATACTATTCACCAGACACTTGGAAATTTTAACATAGATTTTTTTTTTTTTTTAACGTAGAAGAACTGGGGTATGCCAGAAGTGCAGGAGGGTGAGGTGCATAGAGTGGGGAGCAGAACAGGCAGATTGAAATATACTGCTGAGGGGAGCAGAGGGTGGGTCAGGTGAGGTCTGGGGAACATGTGGGTCACCCCCCTGACTGGGGGTGGAACCCAGATGGTAGTGTTGATAGCACTGAGACTTAACCCTTAGGCTACCACAGAGGCCCTACTAAGTTTGAGAGCATACTCTCATATAACCCTCACAGGGGCCTACAGCTACTTTCATTAGCCCAGCTATACTTTTGACAGATGAAAAAATTATATTTAAGACATTTGCCCAAGTCACTGAAGCTTTCCCAGTCTTGGTAGCTTTGTGGTTTGGGGACGATCAGTCGTGTTTCCCTGGTTATTGTGAGAATTAGACAAGGGAGTGAGGACAGGCGTCCACGCGAAGGGCTCAGATCTGGCCACTAGATGGCGCTCCCAGGACTGGCCCGCAATGGGGAAGCAGAGGCCTGACTCCTACTTGTGGCTCCATCACACCTGCTTGCAGGCCCCGGCCTTCTCCTCCTCACTTGTCACTAAGTCAGCTTCACCTGCTATCAAATTCTTTGTTTATCCCTCATGGGAATCCACGTTCTCATTTCTGATTCTATTCCGAGATGATGACAACAAAATCTATGTTTAGGATGACCCTAGATTGTGAAAGGCAGCTGCTATCAAGGTTGTGGGTACTGTAAAGGAACCTCCAGCCAGATCTGGCCTTCCGAAGACAGAAACCAATGTATACGTCCAACTCAAACAAGCTTAAGAAAAATATAGGGCCCTCCCTGGGGACACAACTGTTTAAAGCACAGCACTGTGAAGCTAGTCACAGCCGCTTCAGCACAAGTTCAACCCTTGGCCAGGGAGGTGATCCACATGGGGCGGCAGACCTCTCCTGATGTTATAGGGCACCCCAATGTGAATTGGGTTGCCTGTCTGTGGGTCTTCACCCGTGCGCTTACGATTCAATCGTATTATGGACACACTTCAAAAGGTTAAATAATGGATTTATTTATAAGGAGAAAGGTAAAGGGATAACCCAGGGAAAGAGGGAGAGAAACAAAGGTTAACTAGGATGTCTTACCAGTTCTGCTGACGTGGACTCCACCGGCACGCTGAAAACTGATTGAGCGTCAAAACGATCAGCTGCGAACCACCAGGCCAAGAGACCCCCAGAGCCCACGTGTACGGTTTTATCCCCACCTGGCTGCTCAGCTCCGCCCTCACGTCCCTGCGTGCTTCTCCTTGGTACTGATGGGATTTGGAGTTCCAGCATCGAGTGGGGGCGGAGTCCGTGAAACCTGTATCTGTTACACTGATCCACTCCCCACTCCCGTCAGCACTGTACTTCATCAATCTGCCTGTTCTGCTGTCCACTGTCTCTGGAAAATCCTCTCACCACCCCTGGACCTCTGGTCTGTACCCCAGTTCTGTTATGCATAAATAAATAAATCTTTAAAAAAAAAAAAGCTCAAAGGTTGAGGGGCTACAGATGGAAAGACCCCTGGGCTGTGTCTGCCTGGCTCCATTCTTTCAGGCTTCTAGGGTTTATGGATAAGATGATTGTGGTTTTAGGCCTCCAAACTCCCTATCTAGGCTCCCAGTGGAATGAAATCTTATCTGAAGTGTCCTCTTTTTCTATAGGGCCCACAAAACTAAATCCCCAGGAAAATGGGAAGAATCTGATAAAGACACAAAAATTCTAGATAAGTTTCAGAGTTAGAACTTCCTGAAGTTATGATAATGTTAGAAGTCCGGGCCCTCCCTAGTGGCTCAGAGGATTAAAGCACAGCACTAAGAAGCTAAAGCCACCTCAGCATGAGTTCAATCCCCACCTGCCCCGAGGAGATCCACATGGCGCAGCAGACCCCTCCTGACCCGCCCGCTGCTCCCCTCAGCAGTGTACTTCGTTGATCTGCCTGTTCTGCTCCCCATTATGTCTCTGGTGAATCCTCTCACCCTCCACATCTCTGGCCTGTACCCCAGTTCTGTATGAATAAATAAATCTTTTAAAAAA